CCTTCGCCGTGATGGAGGTAGACGCCACAGCCCGCCCGGGTACCAGAAAGGTGACCCCAGACCCACCCCACTCCCTCACCCATCAATCCCCACAATCACCCACCAAATCCCTATTATTGTTACGTAACGCGTTAACGGTGCCAGTCTGGATACCCTTCGCCGTGAAGGAGGCAGACGCCACAGCCCAGGTACCAGAAGGGTGTCCGCAGACCTACCCCATTCCCTCAGTCATCAATCCCCACTATTGCCTACCAATTCCCTTATATCACCCATCCATCCCCACTTTCACCCACCAATCCCCTTTATAACCCATCAATCCCCACAATCACCCACCAATCCCCTTATCACCCTCGAATTCCTTTTCACGTCCCCTACGGTATTAATATGTTAGAAACATCAGGGTTACCAACTTCACCCAGGCGTAACAAGCGGCGACTCATATCTGGACCCCGCAGTTACACCTGGAGGGTGAGGGGTAGATCGAGGAGTTGATTTACCTGGTAGGTACGGGAGCTGGTCAGCTGGCTAGCCGCTGGGACTGCGGTCCGTGAGACTAGCCAGGTAACGCTGCGAACGGAGAAGCCCAGGATCGGCTAAAGCGGGTGCGGACCGGGCTGCTGGTTGGAGGCGGGGTGGTTTGACGTATGCCACGCTTGCGTGAGTGCACTTCAAAGTATAACTGCACCGACTAGCGGCACTCGGGCTGCTCAGCGCTTGCCGAATGCACCACGCAATTACCTGCGTCGCGAGGGTTTTTTAACAGCAAACCAACGTGGCGTTGGTCATTGTCATGGATATAATAAATTTTTTCTCCCCGTCATCGAAAAAAAGGGCTATCAACTTCAATAGGTAGGTGATGAGCTTTGGTCGAATGCATATGTAATGATCGTAGAATAAAAGCAAGTGAACTGGTTTAGCAAAATTCGGCAAATGAAACATTAAATTAGTTCATATACCCACATTTTATTAAAACAACACCCCAAAAACTCATACATTACATCATAAATATTACAATATTTCATAAAATCGTATATCTACCAAACGTATATAATATAGATATTTATGTATGTAAGTATATTGTATATCCAAATTATTATTCTAAAGGGACAGTACTAGATTTGAACTTAATATTATTTATTATGGAAAAACCTTTAAAAAACGATTAAAACTTATAACGATTCAAACATAACATCTGCATAACTAAGAAATAACACAGCCTCCTTCTTTCTTCTATTTAACAAAAAAAAATAGTAATATAAAATAACTAACATTTTTATTCTACAAAAATTTTACTATTTTTTTAAAACACAACAATGTCATCATTTTTGACAAGGATTTGGAAAATATTCGTTATACATATAACGCGGGTGGAATGTTTTGAATTAAATATATTTAAAAAACTTAATTTGTATATCAAATAATGAAACATACCAATTTAAGGAAAATAATCGCAACATTTTGCAAATTCGAAATTTAGGTAAATATTATATTGTCTGTCTAATATTTTTTAGTTATATTAATATATACTTTATGACTAAGTGATTAAAAAGCATCAAAATATCACTAATCGCCTATCACATTTATTATTTTTATTACGCTTATCTTAAAGTGAGAAAAAAGTTACTACCTAAAAATATAGGTATATTAATGTAATTTATATATCAATATTCAAGAGATTCATAGGAAATATACATGTATATGTTACAGAGAATTTCATTATTACTACGATACACTTTTCAGCTCGACGCTTTTTTTTATATATTTTATATAACTACAACTTTTAACGAGATACGTAAAGTTCTGTACAAATGTATTTTGAAAATCTGAATGAAATAATAGTTAAATAAAAACATGTAATCATTATTTATATGGAATAAAATTATCTTGAGCTTGTAATGTAAATTATAAAATTTGATTGTTTAACATTAATCAAAGTAATCAATAAAGTTAAAAATTAATGAATAAAGTGAATTTTTTTTTTTCAATATAAATATGAATTCCATTACAGATAAAATATTTAATATATTTATTCGAGTTTTATAACTAAACTAAAAATAATTAAACATAGAACACAAATAAAATGAGTATATTCATAATTTTAAACATGAATTCATTAGAAATTTTATTATTATTATTCAGACCGTCAAAATAGTATTAATAGATGTATAAAATTATGTAAGACTTAGAAAGGACCCAAACCCAGCTATTGTGTTATAGTATAACAATGATATGAAGGCAAAAAAATATTGTATGCTGCAAATATGAATGATTAATTGATTATTTTATGCTCTAGTGATTTCAACAATATATGTCATTTATAATATGTTACGTACATGAAGTCCTACGATTAATATTACTGATATTTTTTTATAAATGTAAATGCTTCGGATTTCATAATCAAATAAATTATCAAAGGAGCAGAAAAGCTAGAAATATGTATTTATAAATAAATAAGCAATAAAAAGTTACTATACAATATCCACTGAAAATTGTATAAATTAAGTAGATTTGATTTAATCGTCAGTAAAAGTAAAAAAATAAAATCAAATAGATTTTCGCTCATTAAAATGCCATTTATTCTCGAGGGTTTTTCATGAATGATTTTTAAACCATTTATCTAAAACTGGAAGATTATGTGATTATAATATTCCTTCTATGTTAATATAATATGCATTATCATACATAGATTACTACATACAATAAACTCTACGCTTGATAGTTTCTTAATAATTTAAGTCACATTTACATGATTCTACATAAAAGTTAAACACTTTCGATATATAAGTTTCTTTCCATGCGGCAAGTTTGAAAAGTATATGAGAAATTAGTTTTTATGTTTACACAAAAGACAACTTAGAGTTCAGATATACTTTTAAAGCAGACTGAAATGTTATTAAATATTATGTTTTTTTAAGTAGATGATATTGGTCGTAAGTATAAATTTAAAATGACGAAAAAAGGTACGTCGGTTATTAAAATATTGCTATTTTTAATTGTTCAATAACATGGATTTATTCATTGCATATTTCGTAACTGGATACAATTTATACAGCCATTTATAAATTGCATGTTGATGTTGAATTTCACGTTTGAAAAATCTGAATTAAAACCAATTTAAATATGTAAAGTCGATCCTGCTCAAATTAAATTCTAGCCTAAAATAATTTAAATTTTAGAATTTATTTTAATAACATGTAAAATAAAATTAAGATAATATTTTTTTTTCTTAAATATATTATTTTTTACATAACAAATAAGTTTAGATTTATAAATTTAGCAGTTAGAAGCTTATAAAATTATAAATAATTTAATAGTTTACAGAAAATTATCTTAGTACAGTCAATATTACGTGAAAACTGATGCGTCGATTTCATCCATGCTATTTTTCCCCATAAATATATTAAAGCATGAAATCGCCAAATAATATTATCAGAGGAAATAAAACTAAGACATTTATCTTACTTGTTTCAAAATGCTTTAAATTTTATCAATTGTATAAAACATATATATAAATAAATACCAACCTAGTATCTCGATTAATAAACTTTTTCGACCTAAAGTAAAAAAAAAACATTGAAATTACTTAAAAAGCAATACGCAATTTTTTAAAGACATTCTTCATCCATGGAGTGTTTTAACTACTTAACTGCTAATTCTAAATTTAATGAAGTTATGTAAAACAGCCTGAAGACCTAATCTACATTACACCTATAAATTAATCATTCACATTTGACATCATAACACAATTCATAATATGTAAAACTATTTAGAAACGCCTTAAATTTGGCGCGACTTTTATTAAATGAACACAAGATTTTGTTTTTATTCTTACATTTGAAAGTAGAACGTTCATATTATTCTTATATTACTTATATAAAGCACATACTACAATATAAAAAGTCATTAATATAAAATACAGTAAATAAAAATACTTATTTAGTCAAATGACGGTTGTTTTAGATTTTTTTTATCGGTGAGCAAAAGAATGTAACAATGATATTGATATATTGTTTTAAACTTTCATGGTCACTAACATTATAGCTATTAACGGGTGTCTGGAATCCAGTGGTTCGTATGTGCAAAAAACGTAAAAACAAAAGAGTCGTTCCGGGATCTGATACTGTGAGTATTGTGTGTCGGGAACAGGAGCAAGTGAATAGTGAGTATTTGACCAGTGGAAGGGGTATCGAGCGCAGTAAAAGACGACGTCAGAGGGTAGACCGAAATGTCTGCCAATAACATCTACCCGCAATTACAACAGTGCTGAAATATCGGAGACTCATAAAAACAAGGTACATAGAAACAATCCCGTTAATATCTACAATGATATTGATTTTATCCCTGATACTTAACCCACTTGTTAATGCGTTTGATATAAAGATCATTTTATACAAAAAAAAAAACAAATAATGTAGTTAGTTTCGTAATGTATTGTTTATGTTAAACGTTAGCTGAGGCGTCACTGGACTCATCAGGACTACCCATCTAGAGTCTGTGCGGAAAGAGAATGAGATTTGTATTGGAGGGCGCTGTAGTGCTTTTCTACCGTATTTGTAAGGTTTTACCACTTTTAGACATGATTAAATACAAAAAACCGCAAGAAATCACAACAACAAACAAATCCGTATCAATACAAAACTTTGACGTTTTACAGATTGCTAGGTTTAATTGCCAAATAAAAATCTTAATGTTAGTTCCGTTTTTCGCCACGCCCATTCACTTTCCGCACAGACTCTACCATGGTTTCCTGCATTAACACACTATACCACTACCAGATCTACAAAGGTATAATGCGGCGGTTCCTGAATAAGGAAAATGATCATCATCATCATCATCATCATCAGCCTATTAATGTCCCCACTGCTGGGGCACAGGCCTTCCCTATGGATGGAATAGGGAGATTGGGCCATGACCCACCACGCGGGCCCAGTGCGGATTGGTGGGTGCTAACGACTGCAAATGCAGCCGGGACCAACGGCTTAACGTGCCTTCCGAAGCACGGAAAATGATAAACATGCCGATTCGAGAGACATTGGACCACCTCCCTCCCTAGAGCTTGCCGTCTACATGGCCCATCTGGTCTAAAGCACGCAATGAAACTTCTTGTAGAATGAGAGAATCGTGGTGTTCCTCTTGGAACAGCTTTTACTACTCACATAAATATTTGTTACCGTACCCAACGAATAAGACGGTGTATGGGATATTTAAAGTACATTGTAGGTCAAACAGTACATATATATAACGAATACTGCTTCAGTATGAAGTTTTGCTTAATAATAGATATAAAAAAAAACTTTATTAGTATTTCAATAAACTGTCAAAAACAAGTGAATTATTTTCTCGAGTAAATTCTATATATATGCGATAACTACAATTTTCCTGCTTTTCCGTAACATTTAGATGTTTTTACTATTTTTTGTTATATAATTATACTTTCATTAGGTAGTATAAAAAATTACAGAGATTCTGCGAAAAAAGGTATATCCGTAACAAGTGGGTTAATAAAATAACGTATTAATTGCAAGACATAACGAATGTATATACGAGTATCATATAATGTTTCTATAATATGGTAAGCTCGGTACATTATTATTAAATATAAAATTAAATCTACTCTCCTTTGGTCCTTGACGAAGTGCATGAATAACGCGTGTCTTTAGATAAACGAATAAAAATTATTGTCTTAAATTTTATTATTTTTTTTATAACAAAAATTTATAAAAAGGCGTATTATTGCATTTATATTACAATTCATTATTGTCTACAATACATAATATATCTTTATGCAAATTCATTTCCATAACATTGAAATTATGTTTAAGTATATTATAATAAAACTTGATAAAATACTTCATACAAAAAAATATTGTCAAAGTCACTTCCGCAAAAATTACGACAAACATACATTTTTATACAGGTGTAACATAGTATTACAAAAAGTCAGAAAACTGTTTTCTTTTGTCATTCTGAAACTATTATTTCAATGTTAGTGCCTTTGGGAAACATTTTGATCATAATACATTTAGTTAATAAGACGCATTCATCAAGATTATATTGGATATATACATACATATATGTTGAATATATCTGTAACTACAAGAAACCCTGACTAACTGGCAATTAATATACTTTGAAAATACCTATTTACGTTCAGAAAATACACAGTCTAGTTTACGTTCATAAAAATGTGCAAATAGCTCACTTAATAACGAAACCATATTTTTAGTTGCGAGAAACACAGTAGGAATGTTTATTTTTAACATACATTTAACGGTAAAGGTTATTGATATATTAATGAAAGTATAAAATTGATTATACACAAATGTAGTTTCATTATGCAAGTATCTATAAAATAATATATCTATATATTATAAAATGGTGATATATGTATTACTCCAAGATAATAATATAAAGGTACTCTCCTACTTGGGGGGTTCTGTATTTAGTTTTAAGATTATTTATTATTATAATTTTGCCAAGAGATAATGGAAAGTCACAGATAACAAATTGGTCAATATATTTATATGTTTTAGTAAATGTACTTTTTTATATTAGTAATAAATTTGATATAGTGAAACATATATCTATAGAAATATAGATTATAGCAAATATAATAATATTTGGGCAATTACTACAGTATAATAATCATAAATATAATTTTGTATAATTATTATTAAATACACACGCTTTTTCCACACTAACTACTTACTTACTTAATAACAACTATGATATTGTGGCAATATTACAGCGGACTTGGCACTCCTTAGACGTCAACCAAATGATTTATACATATAAATATGTTATATAAATTATGATACTCTAAGCAGACCCCATATATATGTCTGACTAATAACACACAAAATGGAGGACATTCTCAAGATGGTGGTGGGCTAACAAGATGGCGGCGGTTAATCAAGATGGCGGCTGTTTATGGCGGGCTTTATTCTTCTTCCTCGTTCTGGTAGCTGACGTACCGAACTGATGCTTTGTCGTTTATAATCAGGCTCTGAAAATGTTTCTTAAATTATAAAAAAATAGATAACATCATTCAAAATTATGTTTATTATTACATTAATAGCAGGGGAGCCCTAGCGGGGATTTTTGGATTTACTCGAGCGCGGTAGAATAACATATGGGGAGCAACCTTGCACGTAGTTAAGTACTCCTACATCATACTTGAGCCCTCTATGTAAGGCAAACGTCTAGGGCAGCAAAAACAAAATTTCAACAAACGGCCATGACTTTTGGTCGGGTCCAAATCGTCAGTCTTTTGAATAGGAGCTACTGCAGGGTTCACGTAACATCCTTTCTCAATGTCTGACGCGCTCGGTTATTTTTTCCTATATTCTACCGCTTCGTACGGCCACTCCGATATCATGCAAACCGATCAATATTTTTTCCGTTCTTAGAAACGTTACATGAACCCTCTAGTAGCTTATATTCAAAAGACTGACGATTTGGGCTGGACCAAAAGTCATGACCGTTCGTTGAAATTTTGTTTTTGCTGCCCTAGACGTTCGGCCCTACATGGAGGGCTCAGGTATGGTGGGAGTACTTAACTAGGTGCAAGGTTGCTCCCCATATGTTATTCTGCCGCGCTCGAGTAAATCCAAAAATCCCCACTTGGGCTCCCCTACTATAACCTCTATCTACATATATTAATTAACAAAGAATAAGATTGGATTAGTTACTCCATGTTTCTTCTCTGATTATTTATTACTCTAAGCTTATTCCTCGTTTAGCAACAAGGGGGTCAGGATTTTATGCAACACTAGCGACCCGCCCTCGCTTCGCTTCGAGAGCTGAAGTGTAGACTACAGTTTTTGTTCTCAGGCTTGTATTATACACAATGACATTCATCTATGATTCTTCTTATACCTGCATGCAAAATCTCAGCCCGATCGGTTTAAAATTGACAAAGTTTCATACAAACTTTCATTCCCTATTTTATCCCTTTGGGGGTAGAATTGATCAAAATCCTTTTTTAGCGGATGCCTGCGTTTAACATCTACCTGCATGCCAAATTTCAGCCCGATCCGTCCAGTGGTTTGGGCTGTGCGTTGATAGATCACTATGTCACTCAGTCAGTCACCTTTGAGTTTTATATATATGTAAAGATTAGATTTTTTAAAGATTATAAAAAATCTAATCTTTACATATATATAAAATTTTTGCATTACTAAATGCAAGGTGAAGTGTATGAAAGAAGTAAGATAATAAAGGAAGATGGTAAATGATTTTTATTTCTGATATTATTATAAATCTACTAGCAAACCAGTGAACCAAATGTTCACCAAAACCTGATTTAAAAAAAAAATGTATTTAATTAATTGAGAACTTCGGAGATTTTGTGTGGTTTCGTTTGAAATTCGTGATTTCTCGAAAACCGGAAGTGCTACGTTACTCAAATCCGGTTTGTAGTCTTATCAGACTATTCTTAACTTTTATCTGAAATATTCTCTTTATCTATCTCTTACGGTTTGGCCGCTGAAACAGCACCACAGACGGACGGACTTGTCTAATAGATAAGAGATGCATCCATACTAATCCGTACCAGTATTAGAAACGCGAAAGTGTTTCTGCCTGTCTGTTACATCATCACGCTTAAATCGATTGTAATGAAATTTGGTATATAAATAGAGTCCCAGGAAAGGACCCAGGATAGTATTTATCCCAGAAAATATCCTTTAAGGAGTTGGAAAGGGGAATTAAAAGTTTGTATCAGAAATCCATTAAAGCATGCACGAACCACTAGTTATTTAATATTAATTCTGACCTGCTTCTCATCTCGAGCTGGTGGTGACCTCAGTAGAAGCAGGAATGGAGCATACGCGAAGTTGAGGATGGCAATGATGACCAGCATCCACTCGAAGCCGATGCTGTTCACCAGCGTGCCGGAGAACGCAGGCCCTGGACGATCATCATCATAATCATCTTTATATATATAATTCTTCTGTGAGTGTGTATGTCACTGAACTTCTCTTAAACGACTGGACCGATTTTGATGAAATTTTTTGTGTGTGTTCAAGGGGATCTGAGAATGGTTTAGATTCACAATTTTGTCCGCTGGACAACCCCTATTTTTTTAGGGCGGTACGAAGTTCGCTGGGTCAACTAGTTTATTTATATAATCATCATCATCACCATCAGCCTATTAATGTCCCCACTGCTGGGGCACAGGCCTTCCCTATGGATGGAATAGGGAGATTTGGCCATGACCCACCACGCGGGCCCCGGTGCGGATTGGCGGGTGCTAACGACTACAGATGCAGCCGGGACCAACGGCTTAACGTGCCTTCCAAAGCACGGAGGAGCTCGACATAGTAAATTTGTTGGTCACCCATCCAATGACCGACCACTGCGAAAGTTGCTTAACTTCAACGATCGTAGCCGAACGCGCTAACCACTTGCGCCATCGAGCTATATAATAGGTGTAATCAATATATGAACAAAAAAAAAAAACTTAATTTACACCTTTTATTGAGAGATGAGCTCGATTAGCGCGATCGGCTGTGATCGTTGAAGTTAAGCAACTTTCGCAGTGGTCGGTCATTGGATGGGTGACCAAAAATCTTCTATCGCAAGTTCCTTCGTGCTTCGAAAGGCACGAAGCCGTTGGTCCCGGCTGCATCTGCAGTTGTTAGCACCCGCCAATTCGCACAAAGTGGCCCCCCCTTTGGTGGGTCGTGGCCCAATCTCCCTATTCCATCCATAGGGAAGGCCTGTGCCTCAGCAAAGGGAACATTAATAGGCTGATGATGATTGCACATACGTTTATATGTGCAAGCCATAACAAATACTCACAGCGTTAATTGTATAAATTACTAAAAAGTACACACATCAAAAGTGTCTAGGGATCAAGCATTTTTATGCGGATTTCTTGAGATTGAGATGTGGCTTTGTAATAAATTTATGATTTTATAAATTTATATGGATCCTTTTTGGTGCATTTCATAATTTGAATCAGGAACTGTGAATCAAATTCGAGTAAAAGATGAAAATCAGCTGTCAATATTTTCCCTATAAAAACATACAACGCATTGAAGACATTATTAGTGCTACTGTTTCCCTACTACTGATTAAAACCAACGTTATTATGGAGCGGCGACGTCATTTAAGCAGGGAAGAAATGCTCAGAGCCGTGGGAATGATAGAAGCTGGTTCCCGGCAACGTACTGTGGCTTTAGCTCTGAATACAAGTCAGAGTGTTATCAGTCGACTTTGGACACGATACCGAAGCACTGGTACCGTGGCTGAGCGCCATGGAGGACGGTATCGCTGCACCACACGGAGACAAGACCGATACATTCAAATCTTAACTCGAAGAGCTCCAACAATAACCGCCATGATGTTAGCCGTGAGGCTTCATCACTCTTCAGGGAACTTAATTAGCGACCAAACAGTCACAAACCGCTTGCATGAAGTGAACCTTCATTCCCGAAGACCGCTACGGGTACCACCTATAGCAATGCACAATCGTAGGATTCGATATCAATGGGCTCTTGAACACAGAAATTGGGCAGAAGAACAATGGCGTTTCGTGTGCTTTTCTGATGAGTCTCGTTTTGGTATGAGACCGGATACAAGACGTATACGACACTGGAGAACCCCTGGACGCCAACAGCGATTAAAATCCTGCCAGGAAGTCCATCCTTATAGTGGTGGAACTATCATGGTATGGGCGGGTATTTGGATCGGCGGAAGAACTGAGTTGATTTGGATCAGAGGCAACCTCAACGCTCAAATTTATGCTGAGACGATTGTATCAGACGTCATCGTTCCTCTACAAGTGCAAATCGGTCCCTTATTTCAGTTAATGCATGATAATGCACGACCGCACACCGCAAGAGTTGTAAGACAGACTCTCGCCGCAGCTAACATCAATGTCCTGCCCTGGCCTGCTCAGTCGCCAGACTTGAACCCGATTGAGCATGCATGGGATATGCTACAGAGAAGAGCTCTGCCGAATATGGAGGGTATCCAGTCGCAAGAAGACCTTTTTTTGTTGTTGATTGATTGGTTGGTTGATTTTTTGTGGTTGACAGCGTGATTTGGATGAACTCATTTTGAGTATGCCAAACCGATGTTCTTGTGTTGTTAGTGTTCGCGGTAGAAATACGGATTATTAATTGTTTAAGTTACCCAATAAAATTTTAGAGAAAACTGTTATTTCAGTCTTTTTTTCGAACTTTTGTGTTAGTGGTTCAAATGTCAAAAATCCCTTTATTAGGAAAATGGCAAATTTCTTTATTAATGCAAAGGTGACTTGGTTTATCGTTACTGTGACAAACGAAAACACTTTATTTGATGAATCCTTAAAGAAAATTTTAATTATTAAACTACTTGACCGTCACTGAAAGCTTTATATTGAGATAGCACTTCCGTTTCCCGTCGAATTACCATCAGTTTCCGTACTTTTATTCACCTTGTATCCGGTCCAGTGGCGACACCTGGTAGAAGCGCGGCCATTTTTGTTTTCCTAAGTTTTGACAGCGCCATATTAACTCATTGGCGTTCTGACTCCCGTCGAAGCAACACGTGCTCAATCTGAGCGATCGTTGTGAGATTTTAAAGGTTTTATTATTATTAAGTGATAAAACTGTAAGTAAAACTATTTTTATTTTAACGGTTTTTGCCGTTCGTGTTATTCCAAATAGGTACTTTACGTGTTAAAAGTGAAGGAACCGTAAGTAAAACTATTATTCTTTTTGATAGTTTTTGGAGCCCTTGTGATAAGGGATATTTAAAACAAATATGTTAAATTGTGCAATACCCTTGTTTAAAAAAGTTATAATAAGCTGTGAGTAAAACTTGCCGGCCATTCAAGGTGCGTTTTGTTTAAAAAATTAAAGTACCTACATTAAAGTAAATTTTGCAATACTTTACGACTGTCTTGGTCGTTTGTAATAAAAACTATTTTAAGAGTGTTTTCTCTTGGTACTCAATTAATGTTTCCGTATAAGTAAGTGTGAAAGTAAATTGGTAAATGTATTACAAAATACTTAATTAAATTATTTTATAGTTTAGAGTGAAGGAACATCGGTCAATATTGACGTTTCAGCCGCCAACTGACTGGCATTAGTGGCAAAAACAGCAAGATGGTTGAATTTGTCATCTTCTGGTATAACGAAAGCGGCATCGCTATCTCAAGAAAAGTAAGCGAGCTTGATATTCCAGCCCTTTTATTAAAAGATTGTTCGAGGGGTAAGTGAACTATGTACAATCTTAATAAGGTATTTCTAATGTCGATATGCCTTTTTCTGAACATGGCCAGTTATCAATATCAAAAGGCTTATGAATAAAAAGTTCTAACATTTTTACTGACCAATACACGTAATAAAAATTCTCATGTGAGTCGTGTGACTAAACTAGGATAAAGGAACGCTCTGTTCGAAAGACATTCAACGTTTATTTTAAATGATATGCTGATGTAAATTGAAAATTATAATCATAGTCCAGGCTTTACCAACCTGGAAACAAACAACGAGGTAAAGAAGTATGATGATAATTTATGATATATCACGTTCCTGACATTAATTTTCTTTCAGCAATTGCATATTTCTAAAATAAAAATGAATCATTGCGGGAAGGCACCTGTTCAGTTAATTTTAATAACGAAAGTGATAAGATAACAGAATCGTTTCTTAGGTCTTTTACAGCTAGTGAGGGCACTAAGCTAAAAAGTAAAAACTAAAGCACTGCTTAAGAAGTTAGTGATCTCTGTGATGAAGCACCACTTAATAAGATACCATCTAATCACCCATAATGATTCAGAGCTTTTGAGATTGTTTTTCTCGTATTAAGTCAGAATTAGTCATGGATTCAACTCGCGCAGGGGCAAGTGATACTCATAAGCTTCATCTCATGAAGCCCAAGGCGTGTCAGGACATGCCCTCCCATGGCGTACCGCTACAGTACCGGTGGCAAATCACCCTCGCAGGGTGCATATTATATATAATTTGTTTCCACTACGTGGAATCTTATGAAATGCGTCAAATGCCTTGCCTACATATACGAGTACCGGAAGCAAATCACCCTCGCGGGGTGCATATTAAATACAATTTGTTTCCACTACGTGGAACCTTATGAAATGCTTCTAATGCCTTGCCTACATATACGAGTACCGGCAGCAAATCACCCTCGCGGGGTGCATATTATATACAATTTGTTTCCACTACGTGGAACCTTATGAAATGACTCTAATGCCTTGCCTACATATACGAGTAACGGTAGCAAACCACCCTCGCAGGGTGCATATTACCAAAACTCTAATGACCGCCCCTCGCGGGGGCATATTATGTATAATTTGCTTCCACCGTATGGAACTCATTATGAATAAAGACATGCCTTCCATGGCTTGCCTACACATACAAGTATCGGTAACAAAATATCGTTGATGGAGGAATATCCTCATCAATCTTATAATCGACCTTATGGGGTCATATCACACATAATATATTAATTCCATTACGTGAAGCTCAATATATGTTTTCCTTAGAACATGTTCGCTTATGGAGTTCGTACTATTATGTAAGCACCGGTAACATACGACACTCGAGTGGAGCAAATTATGCATAATTTAACATATAGTCTATTCGTGATTCATAATTTATTTTTGTGACCATGGGGTCTGTAAAAGTGTAAACGATTCGAAACATTAAAAATAAGTAAATTGAAAATATAATAAATGTCGCTTGACATAATTCATTACTTCCATCGCGTGGAAATCCATACATCGACGCAACGCAACATACCCGCTCATGGTTTGCGTACACACATAAGTATCAGCTATAAACTACCCTCTAACTACTAATAGACTATAAAGATCGAACATCGAATATTGACGTACCCAGTTGTGAAGTGCAATGTACGTGGTTTTAAAGGTGTCGCATACTCCGAGGTCTTGGGTTCACCCCGGTGGGGCAAATCATTGTATGATTAAAACAAGCATCTGTGCCTAAGTCTTGGTTGTTAACAAATATCATCATTATGCATTTCTATGCGTTAGCCCATAACACAAGTCTTTCAATGCCTATTATGAGGCTAGGCTCATTGGTGTGAAGTGTTGACTCGATCACTATGGTTGTTCTACCGTAATATAGTTATCGAGGACGTGCTGTAATACATTTCAAAAGAAAAAGGAATATCGAAACAATTAATGTTTGAAAAAATTTAGTGCAGGACAGTTGATAAATTGGTTGCACCACAAATAATTCTTAAATAAATTTAATGGTGTCGCATGCCATTCAAAAGCTTGTTTATCTAAATCCAATATATATCAAGCTCCAATCTCAAGTGCAGTACACTATAACTATGTAAAGAATTCTAAGTTTTCTGCAATTTAAGGACTATCTGCCAGATAGATAGATGATAACATATTTTCTCTTGAAAATAACAAAAGTAAACCAAATGGGTTGCTCACTCTTTTGAGGTAATGAGAGAAACATGCAAAATTAGAAATGTCGTGTATGAGGTGTCCGAGGTGGCCAACATGATCATTTTGATATATAAGTGGTGCTATGTACTGAAGAAAAATTGCACGATCTACCAAATTCTTGAAAGGTTTTGAAGATCATTGTATGCAATTATCCACTTTATGTTATTTTTAGTAAAAAATACTGAAAACTGTTCTTAATATTAAACTTACGCTTTCTAACCTTGCCACGACTGTCTGGAATAAATATACTTCAAACCCTACGCATACTACATGCACACTTCATGTAAGCTGTGTAAATCTTATAAATAACTAAATCTTTATTTAGTATTAAGTAATACATATAAATGACTCAGATCTAAGAACTGAAAAACAAAAGGAAAAATTACAATCAATTATAGATTCCAGGATGGCAAATGAATTTCATAAAATCTGGTCTGAACTTCGTAATAGCATAATTTATCACGGCAACCCTGCAACAATATAAAAACTATACCTGAGAATTTCGTTGTAAAAACGTAAAACTTCAGAAGTTGATCGGTTTCAACATGTTTGTCATTCCGTGGGGTTGTATCAACCACTCCCTACTTCTAACAATAGTTATAAATTCATTGCAATCGACCTTGCAATCACTTCTTGCCAATCTAATATGAAAGCTTGGCAAGTATAGTTGAAGAATACGGCTCTACCACTTCACTTCAATCTCCACTCCAATCAAATAAATATGCTAGCACTACGCTTTTTATCATATTCTATAAAGAGCGACAGCTCTGTTTTAAACAGCTATGAGATGGCTCGGAAACGCTGGCTTGCGTGGTTGCATTGGTCTAGGAACAAGAATGTTTATCGGAATAATCCCGCAGGTTGTGGCCTCGGCTCTGAGCTAACACGATTTGAGACTTATTTTAACACGTGACTTATCTCAAAACTTATTTTGAACTTGTATTGTATGGTACTTAACCATTATTCTAAATAAGTCGGTAGTTTTTACATGATATACCAATGGATGATAAGTCTAATTACCTAAGCTCACCTGTCTTGGCAAACACATAATAATATTTTCTTTTCTTCAATAATGTACTCGTTATATCATAATAATCTGTTTCAAATACCTCGTCATACTAGTTGTTGTTCTGAACGTCATACAGTAATTATGCTGCGTATTATTTGGTTCAGCATGTGGTACACATGACTTGTTCCTACTTCAAATTATTCCGAATCATTGTATTTGTACCGACGAAGAATCTTTTTTAGCCTTGTTTTGGTTCAAAACAGGTGAAAGTAGTTAAAGACAATCGGATTGGTGACTTGTATCGAATAATGGTAATCGTAAGTGGGACCCTGATTTTTGGTACTTAAGTAAAAAGTACAGTATTGTAAAATGTAAGACTCAGTATCGAACAACTTTACATCTTTTTCTCGCATTCGTACGCCTTATTTGTGATATACAAAGATACAAATGAATGCTACACAAGGAAGGCGTCCGGTCATTAACAAAGCAAATATATATATATATAATTCTCGAGTTTTAAGCAAAAGAATCTAGCGATCAGCTAATACATATGTTAAAGCAGCTTCGTAAGCGTGAAGAAATTAAAGGCGTGATTCAAATAATATTATTTGATCCATTTTTAAGCTTACTCGTTTCTTTATACAGTTTCATATAATCTGATAAATGTTAATATTTAAATTTATCATAAATTGTCACATTGGCGTATATATCTATGTACGTGGCGATCACCAGGCGATAACAAACAGGTCTCAATATAAAGCTTTCAGTGACGGTCAAGTAGTTTAATAGCAGCATTTTACCTGAAATAAAATGCATATTAAAATACTTACCTCACTGAAAGCTTTCACTTTAAATTCTGCCTGGTGAAATAATTGAGCCAATGAGTTAATATGGCGCTGTCAAAACTTAGGAAAACAAAAATGGCCGCGCTTCTACCAGGTGTCGCCACTGGACCGGATACAAGGTGAATAAAAGTACGGAAACTGATGGTAATTCGACGGGAAACGGAAGTGCTATCTCAATATAAAGCTTTCAGTGAGGTAAGTATTTTAATATGCATTTTATTTCAGGTAAAATGCTGCTAATATCAATCAGGAGAAAAGTTATTGCAAAAATATATGTTGATCCCTAGACACTTTTGATGTGTGTATTTGTTTCTTAGGTTTTCACGCACATCACTCATTAAATAAAAATAGTTTTCACGGGTTAATGCACGAAACTTTATTTATTTATTGACGTTTCGTAGCCTTTACAGGCTACGTCGTCAGAATCAAATTTTTTTATTTAATTTTGTCGAGCTACCTTCGAAAGACTTATTGAGCGTTCGGTTATTTCATATAATCAAACAATGAAATAACCGAACGCTCAATAAAAGTCTATCTATATATAGTCTATCTATTTTATATTTTAGATTTAAATGTATGTATAATTGCTATTTCTTCTTTCAAATGTTTAATACTTGAAACAGTATTCATTTGACATTGTGGGCTACCTACAAAGCGAAGAGATGGCGCTTCCTTGCAGCTTAAGGCTAGGTAAATTTCGACGCGGCCATCAGGGCCGTGGTAGCATAATTGGACAGTGCATTCGCCCGGATTGCGAAGGGTGCGGGTTCGAGTCCCGTCCGCTGCCTGGTCCGCGTGGATTTTTTTTTAGTAAAACTTTTCTTTAGATTGAAAAATTCAAATTAATATAAAATTATTGCAATGAAGAAAATGGAATAGTGTTTATTGCATGGGGGTCCATGGCATGCGTGGGCACAAAATGGATACAGTTATTTTTTCCTTTTCAATATTCTAGATTTATTTATACTTAATAGGCGTTGTACACTTCTTTTTTGTATGGGTAAAAAATGTTAAACTCGCGTCAGGTTAAACACGTGGGCTGATCGCATCATGACATGTCTGATACCCAATCAGCTCACAAAGTTTGTAAGAAAGATCAAATTTCACGTTGTATTGTGTAAAATCCTGTTCAAACTTATTCAACATAAATACACTCCACTGCAAATAAACTGGGCCAACCGCTAGTGCCTTAGAACTCAGATTCGATTTTTTCAAAATGTATAAAACTTAAAACTATTAAAGCTATATCTACAGAAAGAGTGTTTCATAATATTATTAATATCAGTAAAAAATATAATTTTTATTATTTTTAAAGCATGTAACTGCTTGATGTTTAAATCTAAAGAAAATATAACTAGAAACTGGTCCGCGTGGAATTTTTTCTAGTTATATTTTCTTTAGAGTAAAAAATATTCTAAAGTACTGCCAACTTACTTCATAAACGAACAAGAACAGAAAAACTAACAAATTTGCTATTTTTAAAAAAAAGTCGCGGTTATAGTTCTTTTAATAAAATGAAGATAGTCTGATAATTCATTCATTCATTCATTTCCTTAGTTTTTCTCTATAGTTATCTCAAACGTGAGTACATAGTAAAAACGTAAAGTTTTTGCTTCGTTCGTTACTTCCGAATACCACAATTGGAAAACGACTCTATCTTGGCTGTTCGCGCCCGTATAAACCCCACATATATATACATTTAAAAGAAAAGGAATATTACAATTACAAATCATAGCAAAGAATCGCACTTATATAACGGGTGGCGCCATCTATTGGACCACTGTAGCGCGCCTAGCACAAACGTCATTGGATGTCGCCCGCAGATGGCAGATGTCGCTCGTGTTCTTGTGTTCGGCTGTTTTACCGGCTATAATGTCATGACTTGCGAAATTCATTCTCTCAAGAAAACTGTTACTTGTAAATTGTATCCATTATTACATAAAGAGAAATTACGAAAAACACCGAGTTTTTATTGAAGAAGGCTCCACATCTATGCCCAAACATTGGCCTTTTTTAAATAAAAAAAATAATTAATTGATTAATCTCAAAAAATTCTTGTTAATTTAATCACCACAAAACCCACTTTATAGCTATAACGTAGCTATAATTTTGATAGTTGTAAGTTTTATACTTTTTGAGAAAATCAAATCAGAGTTCCATGGTAGCAAGTGGCCCAGTTTATTTGCAGTCGAGTGTACATACACTCATAATGAATAATTAAATGCTCACCGACAGCATATCCGAGACAGAAGGCAGTGTCACCGATAGCGTACACCGATCCGTAGACGGCAGCATGACGAATATCCACCAGGAAGCCAAGCTCAGGCATCATGGACGAATCCACCATGCCTATCGCGAATCCGAGACCGGCGTTAGGTATGATCAGGTGCTCCAACTTGCGAGCCATCGGGATCTAATGATAGACGGAGGAGATAGATCAATGTTAGATAAATCAATGATAGATTTAAGATAGATAGATCAATGATGGCGATCTTAATGATAGACGGAGATAGATTAATGATAGGCAAGGAATCCACTATGCCTATGGTAAATGTATGGTTCGGTGCTCGAGTCTATCTCAACTTGGCCGTTTATTTTTTTATTATTTTACCTGACCTATAAAGCCATTATTTTTTTACTCGAAAAATTTTTTTAGGTAGTACACAAAATACACGGGAACACGAACTATTAGAGACAAGAAAAACGTGTCTTTTAATTTGTAAGTACAGTTTCAAAGAAATTAATGTAAAAGTATTTAGTGATTACTTCAGGGGTGGTACTCTTAGAACAACAATATTGTACGAAGGAGCTAGCGACATCTCTATGATGGAACAGAAATTTTTTCGTAAAAAAATGTACATAGGTGTCAATAGATGTCTCTACCTTCAGATTTGTTGTCAAAATGAAACACAATTAATTAATTCAAAATTATTATTGTAGGTACTCTAATAATAATGACATGATCAAGTTTTTATTAAAATATTATAACAAAAAAACCATAGCAATAATTTCCAAGTTTTTTTATATGGTAATCTTGCTCACCGGCCGGCGCGGACGCTGTCACGACGCGATTCAAATTCATGGCTACCGGTCGCTTCATGAATGAGAGTGAAAAAGATGACTTTAGTGCACTCTATTAGCTGCTGTTGCAAAGGAAAGCTGGGGCGGGGACTTAAAATGCAATAATATTGGCGTTTAACCTGTCTGTATATTCAGTCATTGCTTACCAGTATCAAACAGATGCCAATGATGACGAGTCCAGAGCACGCCGCCAACCATCGACCCATTTTGTGTCCCAGAGGGCCGAACAGGTTTGTACCTGAGGCAAATAGAAAAACAATTACATATACTAATATTAAATCTAGCGGCCGCTCGCAACATCATACATTAACTGCGTTTGTTGTGTTCTTGCGCGGGCCAGCTGGAAGAAATTTCAAATGAAATAAGTATTAGCTTTGTACAAATTTGATACATACTGATCTACTTATCTGTTTTATTGTGTGTGTGTGTACCAAATTAGTAAATAAATAAATAAAATCATGGTTAATAGATCGAATATCCCACAGGAACCTAACATTTTTCCTTGATAAAAAGCATCCTATCCAGGTCCTGATCTTTCATCCAAATCTGTTTAGTAGTTGTTGCGTTAAAGAATAACAGACATCCATATAAACTTTCGCATTTATAATATTAGTTGGATAGGATAGAAAGGAAATAGGATGTGAAGGCTTGTCTGTCTGTTAGGCACCTCTAACCGCTGCACCGATTTAGCTGTTTTGTACAAAGATTGAGTTCTTGAGAGATTGAGAAAGAAAGGTGACACATTTTTTGTTGTACTATTCGCAAGTGGAATTCTTCGCCCGCGCGCGTGTTCCCCCCTTCCTAAATATAATATTATATATCGCATTTATAATATTAGTTGGATAGGATAGAAAGGAAATAGGATGTGAAGGCTTGTCTGTCTGTTAGGCACCTCTAACCGCTGCACCGATTTAGCTGTTTTGTACAAAGATTGAGTTCTTGAGAGATTGAAAAAGAAAGGTGACACATTTTTTTGTCGTACTATTCGCAAGTGGAATTCTTTGCTCGCGCGCGTGTCTTCCTATAATCTGGGGTCCTTTAAGAGAGGCGTGAAGAAGCTTTTCCGCAGGCCGGCAAGGGGTGATGGTTGGTGTGGCAGTTTATAACTGCTGTGCCAGCTATCTGGACTTTATTACCACTTAACTTCAGGTGGGGTAGAGTTATTTGCCTACCTAGCTATAAAAAAAGCTTGTTGATGTGAAACATCTAAAAACGCACGTAAAACCGATTTCTGGCGTGGTGACGCTCGCCCGTAAAATGCAATATATACCAGTGATCAACTGCTCGCACGGTTCCCAAGTTAGGGGTTTGCCCCCAGATTAAGGGGCTAGAGGGTTAAAACGGACTTTTTAGGGGTTGGAATTTTTCGGGGGTTTTTTAGGGTCTTTTAACAAAACTTGCAATGAAATCGAAAAATAAAGCGTGTGTTTTCTTTTAGTTTTGTGCCTAGAATGGAACGCACCACGATATGAAACGACTAAAGTCACTGTGTGGCAGGTTGTTTCCTAAGGCTGTATGGACTAAAGTTCTTTGCCTTCCACCAATTAAAACAGCTAAATAAGATTTAACAGCCTGTTAGCTCATTTTCTTTTGATTTTCCATTCGGAAAATGTTTATTCAATAAAATAATTTACTGTAACTAAATATGTAACGTTTTAATTTATGAGCAACCAAATAATTTAGGTAATAAGATAAGTAGGTACATATAAAATTCTATATTTAAGGGATTTTAGGGGAATTTAAAAAATACTTAGGGTAAAATCGGAGCCAGAGTCCTTCGAGGAAGGACCTATGTCATTTTTTACCGCACGCATCCCGAGCAATTCTCCGGGTGTATTTATTGTAAACCGGCTAGCGTTTAACATCTGCCAGGCGAACCGTGACGGCTCAGTTTTTTTTAATTTTAATATTAAAACATTTCTTACCGATCAGATAGCAGATACTGGCGGGTAAGAAGGCCACTCCCTGTTGCCAACGACGAGCTTCCATTGTGTCTGCCATCCATATCGGCAAGCTAGGTTCCAACATCGCTATGCCAACATTTGCGAAAGTAATAGCTCCTGAGAACGAATAAATAATATTAATATTGTTTTTGGAGTGAAAACTTCTTTAGCGGCGTTGTACACTTTTTTTCTGTATGCGTAAAAAATGTTAAACTCGCGTCAGGTTAAACACGTGGGCTGATCGCATCATGATGCACAATAAAATTGGAAAGGTTGTTGACTTTCAATATATTGGACGAAACATAGTAATATTTTATTTTACCGTATTATAATAATAAGTCTCTATCTAGGACGTCCACGTGGCAGCTTTATTGCGAAGAAAATGCATTTTTTTTACAATAGATGTCGCTAGGTGCGCTTAAATGTGATTCACGTAAGTTGATTTCTTTACAATAGATGTCGCTAAGTGCGCTTAAACGTGATTCATGTAAGTTGATTTTTCTGAGAGATTTTTTTTTAAATGTAATATATGTTGTTATGTTTGTGTACGATAGCGCATTAAATAAATATTGTATTCTACCACATACATGATACTGTATTATACTGATAAATTAAATCAATTCGTGCAAAATTATTCCCTAACCATTCCAAAATATCAAAAATGCACAACGTTAATATTCAAGTTTACACTTCTGCCGGCACTCCCGGAGTGCAACTCGTCGTTTTTTTTAAGTGGAACTCGATGGCGCAGTTGGTTAGCGCGTTCGGCTGCGATCGTTGACTAAAGCAACTTTTGCAGTGGTCGGTCATTGGATGGGTGGCCAAAAGTCTTCTATCTCGAGTTCCTCCGTGCTTCGGAAGGCACGTTAAGCCGTTGGTCTCGGCTGCATCTGCAGTCGTTAGCACCAATCCGCACTGGGCCCGCGTGGTGGGTCATGGATCAATCTCCCTATTCCATCCTTAGGATAGGCCCCAGCAGTGGGGACATTAATATGCTGATTATGATGATTGTTTTAAACTTTCATGGTCACTAAAATTCGACCTCTATGGTCGAGTGGTTTGTACGTCGGGTTTCAAGGTGTCCAATGTGGCACAATTCTGTAAACCTAAACTTAAATTTGACAATAATACACAATGAAAAGAAAAGACTAATTAAATCTAAAGAAAATATACCTAGAAAAAATTTCCACGCGGCCCATTCAGCAGACGGGACTCGAACCCACAACCCCGCGGCCCTGATGGGATCGAATTCTTTCACAGTAAGAGAGGCTCTTAAGCTGCAAGGCAGCGCAATCCCCTCGCATTGTAAGTAACCCACAATGACAAGCAATTACAGTTATAATTTTTATAGTCCCTGCATTCGCCCCGATAGCGAAGGACGCGGGTTCGAGTCCCGTCTGCTGCCTGGTCTAGATTCTTTTCTAGTTATATTTTCTTTAGATTTAAACATTGAGCAGTTACATGCTTAAAAAATAAAAATTATAAGGAAAGACTGATGTTAAATTAAGCTTTAAGTTTAGAGAATTTTGCCAGAATAGGAGTGATGATGGAGTACAGTAAACGAAATTCTATTTAGTCCGTCAGTTAGATGATCAAAAAATAATGCATACGTATTTTTTCTTTGGGCAATCAACCAAAAAATGACAAAGTTATAGCGCGTCAAAGTTTCAGCGCGTCAGAGTAGGGGCTCGTGACGTCACTTTTGAGTGAATTTTCACTTATAAGTGTACTCAAACGTGACGTCATGCGACTTTTCAAATCAATATATCTCCTGCAATGTTTATATTATGTGAAAAAAGAAAAAATAAGTGTACAATACTTTTTGATAATCTACCTGAGAAACGAAGAAAAAAAAATAGTTATCATCCCTATTGACACTATAATGTACTGACCCGCGGCGACGATAATGTAAGGGTCCGTGATGAGAGCCTTGAGGGACGGCGGCTCGCTCTCCTGACGCACCACGCCCGGCTGCAATATCATCAGCTGCAACACTGGGAACGAATATAATTGTCAAAAAACAAGCAAAACCGGCCGAATTGAGGAATCAATCTTTATTTTATCATAATCATAATCTTAATTTGCTAAAAACACGGTATATAGGTATTACATAACGGATTGAGCACGTGTTTTGCCATTTTAAAAATAGCATGCAAATACATAACATGGAACCAATAAAAAAAAAGAGATTAATTAATTATAACATTTTTCTGTAGAATTATGAATGTCAGAGTTACCTAATATTATGTCAATAAAATATACAATGTCAACATACTAATATTACAAGATTTCGAAATGTCAGATATAAAAAAAATTATAAAGATACATTTATCATAATTATTATAGGATAAGTTAAAACATGTCATTAATTTTTATAATTGAAAAAACTTTTTAGGTCATAAAAATTGTTTTCATTTAGCCATTTATATAATTTATTTTTAAACATGTTCATATTTAGCATTTTCATTTCGGGAGGGATTTTATTATAGATCTCGACACAAAGGCATAAGCAACTTTACCTATATTTGTCAGACCTTGGGACCTCATTAAATATCATTCTGTAAGGGTCTCTAAGCCGGAAATTATTGACCCTCTTGAACAACTGCTTGTGCCCGTGGACAAGCGGTGCACACCCCCACGCCTTCAACGCTGTTTGAGGTCGAGTTCTGCAACATACGCGGACTCCACTCTAACCTCAACGCTGTCCACCACCATCTCGAGACAGCACGGGCAGCATTGTTGTTCCTGACGGAGACACAAATACTTCCGCCTGCTGACACAGGCTACCTTAATTATCCCGGCTACGTGCTTGAAGAGTCCTTCAAAGCGAAAGCCGGTGTATGCCTGTATGTTCGGGCGGATGTTTGTTGTCGCCGTCTCCGCTGCTTGGAAGATCCCTCCTTCTCCATGCTGGGGGTACACGTCGACTCTGGCCCCCGGGCCAGAGTCTACGTGTGCCTCTACAGATCCCACACCGGCGATGTTGAGACAACTCGACTTTTTGAACACCTTAGTCGGGCAGCAGACGACGCGCAGGAGCGATTTCCCAATGCAGAATTGGTGTTTTTGGGGGACTTTAATGCTCACCACAATTTGTGGTTAAGTTCTTCCAAAACTGACCATGCAGGGATCTCTGCTCACACATTCGCTCTCACGCATGACTTGAAGCAACTGGTTGATCAGCCCACCAGGATCCCAGATATTCCAAGTCAAGCGCCTTCTTTACTGGACCTTCTGCTCACGACCCATCCACAGGGCTATCAGGTTGTGGTAAGAGCTCCCCTGGGCTCGTCCGACCACTGCCTGATATCTGCCAAAGCACCACAGGCCAAGCCTCCGCGTCCAGCAGTGGTCAAGCGCCGTATCTGGCATTATGGGTCGGCAGATTGGGACGGTATGCGTGATTACTTTGCGTCCGTCCCTTGGAAGCAGCGCTGCTTCAGTGACAGGGACCTATCGGGCAGTGCCGTTGCCATTACTGAGGAGATCATAATGGGTATGGAATACTATATTCCTCATTCTGATCTCATCAGTAAGGGCACACGTAACCTCTGGTTCAATCACGACTGTGCTGAAGCTGCTTCGCGTAAGCAAGCGGCATATCGTGCTTGGATCAGAGGCCGCGCTCTCAAGGATCCCGGGGTCGATTCACTCAAAGCAGCCTACAATTCTGCTTCCAAGGCCTGTAAGAAGGTTTACATCAGAGCGGATGCCCAGCGTGTTGCACGTGTTGGCCAGGAACTTATAACGCATCCTGCGGGCTTCCGTAGCTACTGGCGTTTGGCCAAGGCCGTGCAAAAAAACTTCTGCCAGCCCTCGCTGCCACCTCTGAGATGCCCAGACGGAACACTAGCTCATAAGCCGCAGGAGAAAGCCGATTTACTGGCAAAACTCTTTGCGGCTAACTCCCGAATCGATGATTGCAATGCACTGCCACCATCATTACTTCACTGTGGCACAACGATGCCTGATATTAAAATCAGGCAGCGTGAGGTTCGTGCCGAATTGCAATCACTCGACGTCCGGAAATCTAGTGGACCTGATGGCATCCCAGCAGTAGTACTTAAAAAATGTGCAGCGGAGTTGTCTCCCGTGCTCACGCGCTTGTACCAATGCTCGTATTCTTTGGGGCGTGTGCCGGAGACTTGGAGAGATGCTAACGTGCAACCGGTGCCCAAAAAAGGGGATCGCTCAGACCCGGCAAACTATCGGCCAATAGCAGTCACCTCAGTTTTATGTAAAGTTCTAGAAAAGGTCCATAATAACCATCTGACCCGCTACCTAGAGGATCACTCCCTGATTAATGATCGTCAATATGGATTTAGACCGAAACGATCGACGGGTGATCTTCTAGCGTACTTAACTCATATCTGGGGTGAGGCTATCGACAAGCGTGGCGAGTCGTTGGCTATCAGCCTTGACATTGCCAAGGCGTTCGACAGGGTCTGGCACAAAAGCCTTCTCTCCAAGCTTCCGGCATACGGTCTGCCAGCCCAGTTCTGTTCTTGGGTAGCTGACTTCCTGCATGAGCGTAGAATTCGTGTCCTTACGGATGGTAGCAGTTCGCGGTTCATGTCAGTGAATGCCGGCGTTCCCCAGGGCTCCGTCCTATCCCCCACTCTCTTTCTGCTGCATATCAATGACTTGATTCCTCTTGGGAATATTCATTGCTATGCAGACGATAGTACAGTGCATGCGGGGTATCTCGGACAAGCAGCGGCTGGGCAGGCAGTAACCAGGGAGAAACGGGAAAATCTTGTCATTGAACTCAATCAGGCTTTGGACCACATTTCCGAATGGGGTACCAGGAACTTGGTTGGGTTCAATGCCAAGAAAACTCAGGCTTGCGATTTCACGGCAAAAACATCGCCATTCCTTCCCCTTCCATCTCTTCAGGGCACAACACTACCGCTGCAGAGCAACATTTCCATGCTCGGTATGGAAGTTCGCTCAGACCTGAATCCAAAGGACTACATCGAAACCGTGATCAAAACAGCTTCACGCAAACTCGGAGTCCTGAACAAGGTGCGGCGTTTTTTCACGCCCGATCAACTGTGCTTGTTGTACAAAACGCAAGTGCGGTCCTGCGTGGAATATTGCTCGCACCTCTGGGATGGCTCCGCCAAGTACTTGCTCGATGCTTTGGATAGGTTACAGCGGCGCGCGATCCGCATCATAGGCGATGAGGAGGTGACTAAACACCTTGAGCCTCTTCAATTACGCCGTGACGTGGCGTCACTAAGCGCGTTCTATCGTTTGTACCACGGCGAGTGTTCTGAGGAGTTATTCTCTCTTATCCCACCTTCCCCTTTCCTTCAGAGGACCACGCGCGCTGGCCTACGTTATCACCGTCTTACTGTGGCCACAATTCCAACACGTACAAAGAAATTTGGTGACTCATTTCTTTGTCGCACTATCCGTAAATGGAATGCTCTGCCCACTCACGTGTTCCCTCCCTCTTACAACCTGGGATCCTTTAAAAGAGGCGTGAAGAAGCAACATGCAGGCCGGCAGGGTGAGGATGGCTGGTGTGGCAGGTAGAACTGCTGTATCAGCTATCTTCGCGTCTGGACTTCACCTTCACTTAACATCAGGTGGGGTGGAGTCATTTGTCGGACCTAACTATAAAAAAAAAAAAAAAAAAAAAGCAAACACTGCTAATTCATATATGTACAGCGATGGCAGCGGCAACAATCCAAGACTTTCAAATAATGGTCTACACGATTGGTCTGGCGGGATTCCACATATTGCCCTAATGCACTTCTTTTGTGCAATAAAGGCTCTATTCTTATCCGTGCTATTACCCCGAGTACAATTCCGTACCGAAGGATAGATTCTATGTAGGCACGATAACACATAACAGCGGTTTTTTTATTGGTTAGGTTTTTTATGCTTTTCAGAGCATACACAAATTTATTTATTTTATGACTTAACATATCTATATGGGTTTTCCAGTTTGTATCTTTGTCAATGTTTACACCTAGGAATTTTATACTTTCTACTTCTTTGATTTTTGCTACGTCTAATGTAAAATTATATTTTTTATGTTTAGATTTATTAAATTGGATATAATAGGATTTATTAATATTAATTTTAAGATTATTTGCATTAAGCCATTTAATGATCATGTCAATAGTATTATTAATGTCAGATGAATGTGTTCGTAACGAGTCATTGTTTTTAATGTTATTTGATGTTACAGTTATTGATATGTCATCGGCATATAAAACACATTTATGTCGAGTCACCTGTGTTATGTCATTGATATATAATAAAAATAAAATTGGTCCTAGAACGCTCCCCTGTGGAACACCACACCGAATTTCCCTAAAACTAGATGAGAACGATTTCATTTCATTTTGTGTTACTTTGCTAAAAATAACTTTTTGGCGCCTACCGCTTAGATAGGATGCTAACCATGATAAGGTGGGTCCTTGGATACCGTAGGATTCTAGTTTTCTTAATAGTCTCGGGTGAGCAACACAATCGAAGGCCTTTGACAAGTCAAAAACTAACCCCGTTGTTAAATAGCCATTATTTAGATTTGTCAATATTATTGACATAAGATCAAACATTGCCAGCGATGTAGATTTTGCTTTTTGAAAACCATATTGCTCTTTTGTTATAATATGCATTGCATGCATTTTTCGAAGACTTTTGAAAGGATCGGTATTAACGTAATAGGACGATAGTTATCCGGATGCTCTCTGTCCCCTTTCTTATGTAACGGTTTGACTAAAGAGACTTTTAGTTTATCAGGAAACGTTCCTGATATAAACGATGTATTAACCAGGTGTGTAAGGACCTGTGTTAGTTCTGTAGTGCACATCTTTAATATCTTTGTACAAATATTATCATATCCTTCAGCGTTGGTATTATTTAAAGACATGATTTCCTTTTTTACTTCTTCAATGGTCATTGGTTGTAAATACATTGAATTTTAAGTTGGTTAAAAATAGTATGAAAATTATAATATTTAAATCGAGCCGTGTCTTAGCGTCGCCGCACACGGGCCACCGACTACAACCACAAAACGCCGCCACCGGCATATTGTAGTTTTCATACATTTTATATGGACTCGCCACACACGGTACGCCGGTGGCCGGCACACTACAAATTGTCGCTGCTCGCTTCTTGTGGCCCGCACCGACCACTTAATGCGCCGATACAAAACGCCGCCACACGTCATTCGCGCGATGCCCCACCCCTCTCTCCCTTATCTTAGTCGGCCGCTGTCGCGCGCTTCAGCCACTTTAGTAGCCGCTTCTAGCTTTTGTGGCTGTGGCGTGTGGCGACACTTACAGTTCGGGCAGATGAATAGGCGATCACGCCACGTGTTTCTACTTACAGCCATCGCCGAGAGCCAGTGCCGAGAGCATTAAGAACGGCGCCGTCTTGCCCACGAATTCGTACATGAGCCCACCGAAGGGCGGGCCGATCAGCACGCCCAGCGCAAGTCCTCCCAGAGCGATGCCCATGGCGTTCCCACGTTCCTAAACAAACAAAAATAAATATTTTTTTCCAACACTCACATTAATTAGCCTAGCTCTAAAGCACTCAAAAGCTTGTGTTATGATACTAGGATAACGGATAGAATACATATACTGATACTTTATATAAGTACTAGCAAACCAGTGAACCAAATGTTCACCAAAACCTGATTTAAAAAAAAATAATGTATTTAATTAATTGAGAACTTCGGAGATTTTGTGTGGTTTCGTTTGAAATTCGTGATTTCTCGAAAACCGGAAGTGCTACGTTACTCAAATCCGGTTTGTAGTCTTATCAGACTATTCTTAACTTAAATATTCTCTTTATCTATCTCTTACGATTTGGCCGCTGAAACAGCACCACAGACGGACGGACGGACTTGTCTAATAGATAAGAGATATTTAATAAATAAATCTATAAAGTCATTAGAATCTAAAATAGGCGATGGTGATCTCCGAGGAGCTGCCAACCTTTTGTTCAGTAATGATGTTGTCACTGTCAACTGCCCGGAGACCCTTAGTGCTCTTGGAGATAAAGACCCACCTCCAGCATAGAATCTTCTTCTAACTTCGCCACCTGATTTACCACAATATGCTCCCCATTTAATAACCAAAGACGCTGACATCTCAGCTGCAATATTTTCCTTTAATAGTAGCTCTGCCAGTAGTCTAGATGGGCTATCACCTCAACATTTAAAAGACCTCATTTCCATCTCAGTCGGTGACGCTTGCAGAGCCTTATTACATAATAAAACTCTTTTGGTAAATTTAATGCTATCCGGCGAAGTTCCTGACGATATTGTTGAGAAATTTTACGGAGCCAACTTAATTGCTTTAAAGAAAAAAGACGGTGGTATTCGCCTTATAGCTGTTGGCTCCACCTTTCCCCGTATAGCATCTAAAATTTGTTGTCACCACATTTTACCGACCATTTTCAGCTGGATTCCGTTGGTTTTGGCGTTAAGGGTGGTTGTGAAGCAGCTGTCTACGCTCTTCGCACTTATCTGTCGCTTGACGCAGCGAAGGTGGTGCTGAATGTGGGTGGATGTCAAGAATGCCTTCAACTCCGTAGATAGAGGTGCCTTGCTTTCAGCAATAAAAAAAAACTCCCACTATTTATAATTATCTTTTGCAATGTCACAGGAAATCAACTAAACTTCTTTTCAAAAACAACCTGTTGTATTCATCTGTTGGCTGTCAGCAAGGCGATCCTCTCGGGCCCTCTATTTTTAGTTTGGCTATACAACATTTCATTGATTCACTAAATTCAAAATTCAATGTGTGTGGTACCTTGATGACGGAACTCTCGCTGGCGATATTTCAACCCTACTTTCAGATTTTCGCGTCATTATTGATAAATGCAAAAGTATTGGCCTGGACTTAAATTATTCAAAATTCTTTTCTATATCTATTTATTGCAGAATCAAAATTCTCACCCGAACATTTACAACATATTGTAACCCAATTTTCAAGTTTAGCTCCTAATATAAAAGTTCTTGATACTAAAACACTGTCTTCTAGGTTCCCCGATTTTTGATGAAGCAATTCCTATTTTTATTAATGAACAAATTACAAATTTTCAGCAGTCCTCCGAAAAATTATTAAAAATTAACCCTTACATGGCTTTATATTTAATTCGCTTTTGCGCTTTCGCCCCAAAATTCATATATTTATTACGTACTCATTTTTGGCTTTTTCCAGGGCAACTGTCAATCATTGACAGTTTGCTCAAGAAGACACTATGCAAAATTTTAAATTGCTCTTTCTCAGATAATGTTTGGAAACAGGCCTCTCTCCCTGTTCGATTCGGAGGTCTAGGTACTCGCCATATTTCACACATTGCCCTACCCGCTTTTCTGTCTTCTACATATGGTACAGAGCTCTTTAATAATATATTATGCCCATCACTGTGCGTAGTTGAGTTGGCTCACCTTGCAGAAGCCAGGAACGCTTGGTGTAGAGCATGCCCGGGAGTTGATCCACCATCCTCCTTATTCTCACAGAGGCAATGGGACGAGCCGCTCTGTTTGCGTCTTCAGAGTGATCTTTTAGCATCCTCTGAAGGCACCACTGAGTGCAGTCTGTCTGTCAGGCAGAGTCTGGTTACTGGCTGCAAGCTCTACCTTCAGCAAATATCGGGACTCTGCTTGACAAGAACTCTCTGTCTCTCGCGATATCGCTTAAATTTGGCGTCAAGACTAAACATCTTCTTCGCTGTCGTTGTGGTACCCGCGTTGGTGAGTTAGGAAACCACGGCCTCTTATGCCAAATGCCTGGACGAGTCTCCCGCTACGCTTGCATCTATGACTTCATCCTCAGAGCACTTGTCACTGTCCATGTACCAGCAGCCCTTGAGCCTAACGGCATATTTCGCGACGATGGCAAGAGACCTGATGGTATGACGCTCATTTCCTGGAAGCAAGGTCGTCCTCTTTTATGGGACGCAACTTGCGTGAATACGCTTGCTCCGTGCCATACAGGTAGTACGTCCCTAGCTGCAGGAGCGGCGGCGGCCTCTGCCGAGTGCTCCAAGCGGCGCAAATATTCAGCTCACAATGAGACCTACATAATTGTGCCTTTTAATGTTTAGACTATGGGCCCATGGGGTTTCAAGCGCTCGTTCCCTTTTTAAGGAACTGTCAAAGAGGCTCACTGTGGTGACTGGTCCGACTTCTCCCACACAGGCCACAAACACCAACACTACACAGCTAGCATACTTGCACACTAGCTTAGCATTAGGCAGACACTGCACCCGTAGGATAAGAGTGCGAAGACCCGGTCTACATACCACACGCTTTACCAGGTACCTTGGCGTTTTCCCCCGCACCCTACGAGAAGTCGGCAAATTTTAAGTTTACACAGACAATAATGTGTTACTATACTGAGTAGCGCCAGTGGTTAGCGCGTTCGGCTACGGTCGTTGAAGTTGAGCAACTTTCGCAGTGGTCGGTCATTGGATGGGTGACCAAAAATTTACTATATCGAGCTCCTCCGTGTTTCGGAAGGCACGATTAGCCGTTGGTCCCGGCTGCATCTGCAGTCGTTAGCACCCACCAACCTGCACTGGGCTCGTGTGGTGGGTCATGGCCCAATCTCCCTAATCCATTCATAGGGAAGGCCTGTGTCCCAGCAGTGGGGACATTAATAGGCTGATGATGATGATGATGATACATTATTTTATGGTGGAAAGGGTATATATTTTGCATTACAAGGACTCATATAAAACACTTCCCGCATTTTTATTATATTGCCAATGCATATTTTATTTAATGACATCAATGCTCTTTCTTTGTATTCTGTACGGATGTAGGTATTTATAAAGTTTTTTTATTCAATTATTCAAAGCACAATGAAATGTACTGAGATATAATTACGTAAAGGTTGATTCACATTCAACTATAAATAAAATTATTATGTTTCATTGAAACCTACATTGGCGGCGAAGTACTACTTGCAATTTTTATTGACGACCTCCGTGGCCGTGTGGTTTGTATGCCGGGTTTCATGGTGTCACCGACTCGAGAGGTCCCTGGTTCGAATCCCGGTGGGAGCAGATGTTTGTGTGATGAATACGAACGTTTGTACTCCAGTCATGGATGTTTAATATGTATTTTTATATAAATACACTTATATATGTACAGTATATGTATTCTATCCGTTACCCTAGTATCATATAACACAAGCCTTATACCACAGCGGTGACACTCTGTGTACGTGAGAGTTCCAGCGTCAGTGACCTTGTGCAGGAGCGTGTATGCGCTAGGGTTGAACTTGGAATTTAGACTTGTGCCAATGAATATTTATGCATAGTAAGTTATTAAATGTAAACTGATTCAAGGATACTGGGGTAAATAATGAAGGATAGGTTTGATTTTATAATCAATTTTTAATCTTTTAATGTAGGTACTATAACAAATTGCTAACTTTTATATATTTTCTCCTTTTTCAATTTGTTTTATAATTCTTATTAGTATCTAAATAATAATAAGATTGCATAGCGTAGTCAGTCTGTGCGTGCAATGCAGTGCAACGCTATTATTTTACTATTCTGCCATCCCTTCGGTCGAGGCAGTCCGCGACTGCCCTCTCCACGTCCCGCGCGCCGCGCAACGCCCCCGCACACCTCCAGACACCCACACATAGCCGCGGGCGATTTTACGAGCACACATGCTTAAGTGTCGCTTCTTTTCGCGTAGTGTATATATTCTGTGCTTATACTTCTTACTAGTGATGTAACGATTATCCGCATCCGCATTCGCATTCGCGAATATTCGCATATTCTGCCACCATGCCATAGACAATTGGCGCCGATTTTGAACAAAAACATATATATTCGCATTCGCATTCGCGAATGTCGGTACCAGATATTCGCATTCAAAAAAATGTTCAAAAAATTACATTCGTTACATCACTAGTGCTTACTTTGGGGCTAGGCTAATTGGTGTGAGTGTTGGAAATATTTATTATTATTTATATTATTTTTGAGAAATTTACTGCTTTATGTCTGTAACTTGTAAGTCTCTTTCCGCATGTTTTGATGTAATCCCTTATCTGTATTTTCTGTGTAACAGTGAATGTTAAAAAAATACTGTACAAATGACTTCTAACTGAATAGATATATGGCCATCTTTCTTATCTGCGTACAAAGGCGTTATAAAAATTTACAAAAATTTTAGCGTTTTAACAGTTTTTCTTCCGTGTGTAAAATGTTGTCTGCCTTAGTTAGAACGAATTAGAACTTCACCGTCGTCTACTGCTATAAAACACGTAGGTACTTTATTACTAAGAAATATATTATAATAATAAATATTTCCAACACTCACACCAATTAGCCTAGCTCCAAAGTAAGCACTGTAAGGCTTGTGTTATGGGATACTAGGGTAACGGATAGAATACATATACAGTACATATATAAGTTTATTTATATAGAAATACATATTAAACATCCATGACTGGAGGACGAATGCTCGTATTCATCACACAAACATCTGCCCCCACCGGGA